GACAGGAGTCAGTCCTTCTGCAGAAAGCCTGCTTGTGTCTCAGGTTGTTTCCTCAGTCTTGGAGCAGATAACAAACAGAACATCAGATGACAATATAGCAAAGCCAGGAGATGTACAAAAATCTTTTGAGCCATTAAGCATACCAGTTTTGGAAAAGAAAGTTTGTTTTCAGGGTGCTGTTTCAAAACAGTCTAGTGAAGGAATTATCCCAACACTCATGCTTGGAGAAAGTCGAGACATTTTAGGACTGTCTGGGTCTGTTATTATTAAACAAGCAAAGGGGATAGTCCTGGAAATTATTGAAAGGGCAGTAGATCAATTACATCTTTCCAGATCTGTCCCTCTAGGTGTTGCAGAATGTTCCAGCCAAACTGGTATCAAAATGAAATCACCCTCAGACTCTCTGCTCAGCCTGGTGGCCTCTGATGTCGTGGACACTGTTCTTAGGACGATTGAGTCCGCCTCTTGCACCCCAGGTGTTTTGTCTTGTGGCGATGTCAGCATTGTGGATTTTGAAACTGTGGGAACGTGTCCAAATCCCTCAGTATGTGTGACTGATTCTGATTTGCTCATTGAAGATCTTGTTACGAGTGTCATGGACAAGCTAAAGCCGTTGGCTAATTCTGGTAAGAGAGCTGTCTCTGGACCACCTCTCAGGGATTCCACGTCTCTTAATTCATTGATGCCACAAAGTCTCCCCAGCCTGCCTTTGACAGATATTCAGGAGGTGGAGTTCGCCTTGAACTCCTTTGCCAAAGAGGTAGTGAGCTCTGTACTGGAAGTGGTTAAGGACGAATTAGATGGAGAGAATCTCCTGAAGTTATCCCCCTCTGGACCTGTCACCAATTCAGAAGAAACTCTGCTAGTGTGCGAGATTGTGTCCTCAGTCCTGGAACAGTTAAAGCATCTGGAAGATATTCCAGGCTGTGCAGTCCCACACACTGAAAATACTGTGGAAAAGACCGAAGCTAACTCTCATCCCCTGAGGAGCGCAGATTCAGGGGTGGAACTGACTAAGCTGCAGACATGCAATGACCAATCGTCTTCCAAAGTTAGCTCGGAGTCGGAATTCAAGACGGCTACAATAAAGTCGGTTTGTGGCATTATGGAAAGGGTTGCCGCAAAATTCCAGCCCCCGAGATCTGACCACCACGCTGTGGAGTCATGCAGCAGTGCTCTGAGGGAAGTTTCGGACGTACAGAAACATGCATGTGAGTCTTGGTCTTCTGCCTGTTTGCCTTCAGCAGCTTCAGATGTTGTAGAGGCTGTGCTGGGAAAACTTGTGGAAGTGGCCGGCAGCGAAGAGGTTTCAGACGAGCGCAGCCTTGGGCAAGACCGGTGTGCTCAAGAGCCATCCACCACTTTGGCCAGGAAAGTAGACTCTGGCACGTGGGTTGAGCCTTCACAGATCCAAGGAGTCACTGAGGAACTGGTTGACACAGTGATGGGTAAACTTAAAGTTTTTTTGGGCATGAAGTCATCATCTGAAAGCCAACAGTTGCCTGCTCAAATGTGTGGATCTGGAGAATTAAAAGGGGACAGTTTCCCATTGTCAGGAGGTGTATCAGTGTGTGAAACCAAAAGTGAAGTTAAGAGCTCAGGCTTAAGCCGCTGTGTACAGGATGTTGTCAGTCAGGTATTGCATATGATCAAGACTGAGATAGACGGGGAGAATGAAGCCCGTGCCTCACAGGAAACACTGCTAGCAAAAAAAGTTGTGGATTATTTTTTGTGCAAAGTCACTGCTCCAAAACTAGAAAAACTGGATTCTGAGAAAACCGTGATTATAACTGAAGAGCCCTGCCGAGTTACAAGCACTCATGTTGAAAAAGAAGACTTGGAAATGCCTGATGAAATCCCTGTCCAGCCCTGTGATCCCGTCAATGTCCCAGGCATGGTCATCTACTCGCAGTCCGACTCCACCGACGAGACCCCGACGGTCTCCTCCAGGAGAGCCGCTTGCAGCTCCTCATCGAAGACTCCCGCCCCGGCCAGCGAGAAGGAGGAGGACCTCTTCAAAGGCCCGGGGTCCAGGTGCACCATGGGTATCCGACCACGCTGCCGTAAGAAGTCTTTGGCCCCGAAGGATCTAGGCCTGTCTGGAAATGAGCCAGACTTCGTGTCCGAGGGGGTAACCCCCAAACGAAATCTCATGGAGAAGCTTTTCAGGGGAAAAAGATTCACAGCCAAGGAACAGCTGGCAGGAGAAACCATAAGGTCCAGTGCTAGAGCAGCAGACCCTTCTGGCCCCACCAGCGCTGTGCGGCTGCCTACTGGAAGAGGCACAGCGCCCCCTGCTGGCTCCACGGCGCCGGAGAATGGCCTGGCAGTCGGCACGGTTGCAGACGCTGCAGACTCTCTCGCTAGAACCAGGCGTAGAGGGATTCCAGCCCAGCTTCCGGAGAAGACCTTCCTGGCCCCCATGTCCGTGAGCTCGGCCACCTGCTCCACTGTGGGTTCCTCCCTGGGCCAGGATCCCGCCATGGCAGCCAGAGGTAAGCTAACCGTGATGTCGCCGAGCCATCGGCTACGTGTGTTTGCACCACTGAGGTGTTTGAAAGAGGGTGTTGTATTTCCTGGAAAGGAAATGGTATTATGACTCATCTTTGTCTCAGGCTCTAAGCATTTTATCACGCTTGCAAACTGGCTACAACAGCACCACAGGGGTAATTTAGGATGAAAGTTATTTTGAGGGCTTATTACAGTATACAAACTCATCCTGGAAAGAGATCAGTTCCTCGGGGAGCTGCACACACAGTGTTACCATGTTGCTCTTCAGGGTGAACTGCTGCAGGCGTCTGCTGTTAGAGCTCTTTTAGGAGCTCTGTGCAACTGCCTGGCCGAGCTGTGTGGCTGAGAGCTGATCCTCTGTTCTATGGTGAGTTCGGGGCCTTGATGTAAGAGAAGGGAAAAGAGCAACCTTTAATTTTAGTTGTACCTCTTTGCCCCACAGAGAGACGTGTGAAAAAGCTGCCGAAGATAGCCCCACAGGCTGTTGAGAAGGTATGTTTCCTGCAAGGTATACAGTAGTAGCAGTTGTGTTCTACAGGTGACCCCTGATAAAGGAAATGGATCATCACCACTCGTATGCTGTGTGTTGCTGTAAGAGCAGGACACTGTCCGGGCTTCACCCTGGTGCTCTCAGTGCAGCTCTGATCTCTCTGCGATGCTTCTGCGTTGAAGAGTGGAGACTTCCACTTCTTTAGTGATACCATACAGATGTGCCTGTTTTGTGTTGTCTTTCCAGGGCCTCCAACAGCACCCAGGACAGTTTGAGGGCTTCCCAGCTGGTGAGTTCTATATGGTTGGCAAGGTTATGCAAAAGAGGAATCTTAAAAGACGACTGCTTCCTAGAATCATCACAGTATAAAAACGGTTAAAAACGAGATGAGGCCATCTTAATCGGTAGGAGTTAATTGATCCCAGGATCTTATCCTGCCATTTCTTGAAAGAAGCCAGGGTATCAGCTTCAACAACATTACTGGGCGGCTTGTTCCACACTCCCACAACCCTTTGGGTAAAGATGTGCCCACTGTTCTCAGTGTTAAATTCAATTGCACATACTTTTCATTTATTTTCTCTGATTCGAGTGTCGATATGAGTTTGAAGAAATCTGCTGGGTTGAAGTTTTGAAAACTTGCATCCGATTCCCTTTTAATTGTCTCTGTTCAACAGTTCCTTCAGCCTGTCAGTGTTAGGCACTCCTTCACACCCTGGATTTAACTTACAGCTTTTCTCTTGACTAATTCCACAGCAGCCATTCATTTTCTACAACATGCTAAGCAAAACTACACAATATAATGAATGAGGCCTGGTCTTGCATATTCCAGAATCACAAGTAACTTTGGATACATTTGGAAACAGCTTGTTCTTTTTTTTGCATTGGACCTGCAGTGACGTCTGCAGGTTTTAAGCAGCGTCAAGGATCATGAAAGGGCTGTTTTTATTTTACAGACTAGTACGTGTTGTTTTGGCTGAACAAATATAGCAAAGGACAAAGGAAATCTAGCCTGATTACACGCTTGCCTTCCATTAAAACCTAGCCTTTTGCAGATGGGAGTTATCTAGTACTTCTAGGGAAAATATTTGCTTGGGGACAAAACAGATTGTTCTGGGACCCATGGTACTGTTTTTTTCTTTCTTTGGCACTGTAGCTTGTCGTTTCCTCGTACGTGTGTCCTAAGGGTGAGACCGCGCCCTGGAGGTGGTTAGATCATGCAGGAGACGCCCTGTTTCTGGTGGTCTCTGTAGCAGTTGCAGCAGCTTTGGGTTGCTGTTCTATAGGACACAGGTTTCCCAGTTCTGGTCCCCAAGACCCACACACCTCTAGGCTTTGACTCCAGTTGAACTTAATTACCTAATTGAAGCCTTAACTGAATTAATAAGCCACTTAATTGGAATACCTGAAAGGTTTCTTTTCCAAATCAAAGGTTTGGGTTTTTATTTTACTTATCAAATGCAATAGTTAAAAGGCACCTCCACTATTTTTAAAAACCAAGTTCCAATAAATCAGATTATTAAGTTAATTAAGAGCTCAATGTTTTAATTGAGCTATGCTGGAACAAATATCAGCAGATGTGTGGGGCCCCAGGCCCAGCCCTGTAAACTCTGGCTTTGGACATGGCGCCCCCTGCTGCAGACAGCGCCCCCCGCAGGACTGGGACTGTATCCCCCCGGTGTAGACAGCGCCCCCGCAGGACCGAGACTGTAACCTCCTGCAGGACCGGGACTGTAACCCCCTACTGCAGACAGCGCCCCCCGCAGGACCAGGACTGTATCCCCTCGCTGTAGACAGCGCCCCCCGCAGGACTGGGACTGTATCCCCCCCTCTGCAGACAGCGCCCCCCACAGGACTGGGACTGTATCTCCCTGTTGCAGGAGATCTGTCTGACCTATCCTCTATTTACACCTCATGGCGGGGCATCTAACCAGGGGAGACCCTGTTCCATCTTTCTTGCAGTTGTTCCTGTTCCTCCGACCTGCCCCAGAGACAAGCCTCCTCCTCATAGACGGCTCCTCAGAGTCAAGATGTTTCCTGCCCAGAGGTTCCAGTAATCCGGCGCCCCCTACAGACGACGGGGAGGGAAAAGCATCCGAATAAAAAAAAATATTTTTATAAAAGATTAAAAAAAGGTGAAAAACTGATGCTGTAAAGGACTGTTTTATATCCATGGGAGAGAGACGGTGCTGCTGTAACAAGCACTCAGACCTGTGAGGTGGGTGTTGCGCTGTTATGACCATAAACCTGCCAAGAGCTAAATCTCAAAATGCTTTAAGTCTTGTTATGAATTCAGTTCATTTTGACAACTTGCCCTGTAGCTTCAGCCCACTGGCACTTCTATTTTGCTAAATGTATCGTAGCTGACATGTCTAGAAGGTGTTGAATCGTTGTTTTTTACTTGTAATCTGAGACTAGTTGCTTTTGCAAGTGGAAGTCCTTTTAAGATCACTCCTGGACTTCTCAAGCACTGTAAACCCCCACAGCTCTGCCTTCCAGCCACAGCCTCCAGTTCAGCCCAGGTGATGTTCCTGAGGTGTTCATTGCAATTAATCTTGAAATATAGATAGATACTTTATTGATCCCGTGAGGGAAATTGAAGTGCAACAGCAGCTTAACACACACAACACAGCCACAGTGTAACGAATTATATAATAATAGTACAATACATACAATACAATACAATACAAGAGTTACTCACAGTCCGGACACACAAAGAACAAACTAGAACAGAACAGTACGCAGAAAAATCATATCACACATATGAATATAAATATAGATGTAAATATAGATATAGATATAGATATAAATATAAATGTATTGCACGGGTCCCTGGCATATATTGCACAAAAAAACGGTTGTAAACGGGAAATGAAAAGAAAGAGAACCGATGTAGCAGTAGATGTGTAGATGCGTTCAGTCCAGAAACAGGTCACTGTCAATGTTGCCTCTGCCCAGACGCAAGGTGGATGCGTTGTACAGTCTTATGGCAGAAGGCAAGAATGACTTCCTGTAGCGCTCCCTGTCGCACCGCGGCATCCTGGCCAAATTTCCCATTGGCCCTTATCAGTCATGGCCTCCTTATAATCCCCATCTATGAATTGGCTTCATCACTCTATTCTCCTCTTCACTGAGAGCTGGTGTGTGGTGAGAGTACTGGCGCACTATGGCTGCCGTCGCATCATCCAGGTGGGGCTGCACACTGGTGGGGGTGGAGGGGAGCCCCCATTACCTGTAAAGCGCTTTGAGTGGAGTGTCCAGAAAAGTGCTGTATAAGTAGAAGGAATTATGATTAATTTGTGGTTGAACTGTCCAGCTACCCTTGGCCACAGGAGTAAAGGTTATAGGCGGGAGGAGGCCATTATTGCCTGTGGATCACAGATCAGAGGATCTGATCCAGATGTTGGGCGCCTCGGGCTTCAGCTCACGCGGAAGCTATCCGTAACTCGCTGTCTCGTCTGTGACGTCACGCCCAGACGTTCCCCCGTACAGAGGGCTGCGGTCCTGGGGTCAATGCGTATCGGCTGAGCTTTCGCTGTTGTTCTCTCCTTACAAGTATGCTTCCTGCAGCTGTGCTGCCTATCACGACCGAGGGGGCTGATATCACAGCGATCAATACTGCAAATGATCGGAAACGGCTCCGACAGCGGAACTCCGAAGGCTAACTGCTTGCGTGCACTACACGCCGTACTGGATACTTTGAAACGTATGTTGGTAACATCAGTATTTCCGTACTTAACATCTTATCGAGTTAAATCGAACCAAATTGAACCGCATCTGGTGCATTTGCGAAGGAGACTAAATGCATTCCGTTCACTTAACGCATGAAAATATCAGTGATAATACATCGCGCACACAAGATTCTGCATCTCGGCGTCAGGACCCGCTCAGAAAGTACAACACGAAACGCCTCGGCGGTCCGCAAACAGAAAGCCCGTCGAATGGCAGGACCTTTCCGGAAATCAGCACGACTGCAAAAACGTTGCGCCCGACACCCCCTCCTGGAACAGCAGAGCGGTGAAGTGATTCGCGGCTCTCGGAGGGGGGACAGGAGGAATTAAGAGGGCTGAAGCAGGAATACCATTGAAGGGCGTGACGCCATACAGCGTCGAAGAAGCCGTGATGTGAAAGCCCTGGCAGCGTTTTGAAAGGATCCGGCGCCTCCAGTCCTGCTGCCCGTGCGGACAAATGCAGTGCCGTCGCGTCTGAGGGAAGGGCTGAGCGGAATATCCCTGGCGAGTCGCTAAGCCGCTACGGTGCTCACAGCTGGATCTGATTTGCGCCCTTCGCCGTCACTCCCAGAGGGGAAAAAATTAAAGCCTTGTTTTACAGGAAGCGAGCGCGGCCGAAGTCGGGGAGGGCGACGAGAAGTGTCACAGTAGCAACGTTGAAGTTCAGGGAAAAAAAAAACATTAACGCCAACACTGAGGTAAGACTCGGCGCAGACGGGGAGGCGTTTACAGTACGTGAGCTGCAGCGGTGGAGCCGGTTGATGACCTTTACTGTCTTTTCCTCCTCAAGATGGCATCGGAGGAGCCCTGTAGTACTGCGATACCG